AAGCATCTTTCACAAGTTTACCTCATGTATCCTTAAAATAATTTTGCAAATTTTTGACTCTTCACCATCACCAATTAATAGAGGAGAATGCTGAGGCCCAGAGAGTTTAAGAACATTTCCCAAGGCCACACGGGTGGTTGAGAGCTGAACCAGTTCTCTAGCCAATGTCCTCTGCTTCCCCAATTCTTTCCACTGCACCATAGCTGGCCCATCACATATCCCTCTATATTCTCATTTCACTTCTCTAGCAACAATGGAAAGAGCCTGGCTTTCTCTGAAGTCATTGAGTCTTTGAAGAGACACAGCCATGAGTTCAGTTTTCCCACTAATGAAAGCACATAATATATTGGTTACATAAGGAACGTTATGGGGTCATCACAAATGTGGAAAGCTTTTTAAATGAACACACAAATGATGCCTGGAATCCTGAAAAGGCCAAAGAAGACATTACCATCAAATAACCAACCGTGGACCTGGGGGAAATTCCATGAGCATCAGTGTTTTCATTTGAATGGCTTGTTTTTATTTCACGAGGGCTTCTCTTTCATGGAAAACTCGAGGGTTTTTTTAAAGGATTTCAAATTAACATCATGACAAACCTGTAGATGGAGAAGGGAGTCACCGACCGAATGAGGGATGCCAAAGCCCCCACTTTGGCAGCTTCCACGGCGCCCCGGACGCGGTATCGCACTGTACTGGAGTAGTTGGTAAAAGGCTGATTATAAACAACAATCTTCCCTTTTGCTTCTTGGGCCCTTCTCTTCAGCTCATCGAAAGAGGTCACCACCAGAACTTCTGCGATAATGCCTAGAAATAAAAGTCACAGGAGATTAACTTATGGTTTCTGATCAGCCACGTTGAATTGGCACGAAAGGTCACATACGCTCTGTCTGCCACATCTGGAAAACTGGTTTAAGTAGACCAAAGTTTTACAGCCAGTTGCCATGGGAGAAGGATTGTGGGGGTTAGCCAGTTTCCCAAGAGCGAGAAAAGGCATTCAAAATAATGTCACCTACGACTCATAAGGTTTTTCAACTCATTTGACCAGCTGGTATTAAATCACAAATGGCTTGAAAAGATAGGGTGTTTTTTTCCTTCTTTCCCACCCTACGAAGTCAGGAGTTTCACAGAATGACATTAATTATTTATAAAGAAAATGCATTTTAGGAAGCTCCCCTTGGAATTAATGAAACATATTTATCTTTTCATAAAACTATTTTGATATGTTGCTATACAACCTTCATCAACATCATACAAAGGATGGCCATTCATGAAGAATGTTCTTAGAAGCCAATGATCTTCATTAACTTTGAACTAATAGCCAATGTAATCTCTCCCAAGAGCNTGAAGAATGTTCTTAGAAGCCAATGATCTTCATTAACTTTGAACTAATAGCCAATGTAATCTCTCCCAAAAGTCACAAAAGTCACAAAAGTCAGCTTGTTTTCTTTGCTCCTTTGCACAAAACATTCTTTAAGGATGTGGAAATTTCCCAAGCTTCTCAGTTTACAGCACGTGTACACACCAGCTCCATCACGATTCTTCAGATAAAATTTTCGAAGATGTTGTATAACTGTCCTATGATCCTATGGTCTCACTTATAAGAGGCATGCTATCCTTCCTCATACCACAGGTCCTGCCCTGATTAGGGAACAGGGTTTCACAGGTTCTGAGAAGTCATTCAAAAACTGCCAGACCACTGACGATCCAATTTTATGGAGCAATTAGAGTAACAAAAAACAAAAAAAATATTTAGCAACAAAGGCCAGATGCAGTGGCTAAATATAACCACCTAAAAGAAAGGGGCAGGCGCCTACTGTTTTGTGGCTTCAGACACGCAGTCGTGAAATATGTCAGTAAAACCCAAAGTATCAACATATATTTGGCATCCTTCTTTAGTCTTGCAAACTAGAGAACTGGGTTTTTCTGGAAGCTTAACAGATGTCATTAAAATATTAACTGTTACTTGAAAAATCCTTTTAAAACACACTGCAGTTATAAGAGAATTCCTGCTTTCAATATAGACTCCATCACAACAGACCCTTCAGGCAGGCTCCTCTCCCACTCTATTTCCACCGTACAGACTGAATTTGTACTATTACTTTAAAGTGATTGACTGCAGATCTATAAGCATGTCTCCACCAACATTCAGAACTCAAAATTTAATTTATAATATAAAAAAAAAGCAATGTACAATTATGAAAAGTAAGGAAGCCACTAGCTTTTTCACATGATAAATATGTGCCGAACTACAAATAACGGTTTAGCTAGACAGATTTTGAGAATCATAACTTTCCGAAATCTAGAGTTACCTTGAAACTTGACTGGCATTATTATTGGCATAGTATGAGGATTCTGTTGATGGCTTTCAGCTGTTCCTAATCAAAAACAGATTCAATGGTTTAACTAAGGGATGTCCTAGCAATGGGGTAATTTGGCATCTGGACTGGAGCCACTAGAAATGAAGCCAAATTTCTATAAATTTTTATAGGCCACTGCAAAATTCAAGTCATACAAGGGTGGTACTTCTCTCCGGTCTATGCTTCAAGCTCTTTTAACAAATGAGAGAGTGATGGAGCGCTGAAGAGCCAAAACCTAACCTGGACACCGCGGCTGCCAATGCAAGTCACTGGTAATAGCTAGGAGTCAAAGCCTGTCACCGTGACCTTAGAGGAGGTGTTCAAATTCATCTGTTTTCCTGAACACTAAGCACCATCTCTGATTCTTCTGTCTCCTTCATCCCCCAAGTCTAGTCAATTCTCGAACACTAATAATTTTACCTCTTAAATAATGATTGGACCCAGGTCCCCTCCTCCACCCATCACAGTCGCTCACATCAGGCCCTTATTATTTCTCTTTTGAATTCCTACGAATCTTTCCTCCTGCAGTCACCCAGCGCCACGGCTGCCCGAGCCTCCAGCCCGGGACCCGCAGATTAAACCTCAACAGAGCTGCCAGAGTGAACTGTTCCAACTGCTAAAAAGTCAGAGCGGCCTGTGTCCCCATCTCCCCGCCCCGCTTCATCTACAGACCGGTCAAAGACTGTGTCTCTACGCACACAGGACCCCTGTGCTTTCAGATTCCGCCAACAGTAAACTTGAAAGCTCCCATTCGTCATGCAAGTTCACTTCCATGTCCTCGTCACACTATGGTACAACTTGTCAGGTTGACCCCATTCTCCCAATTTTGTCACGTGACAAACACCTATTTGTTCCTCAGGTTGTCATTGAAAAAAANTCAGTCTAGATCTAGAAATATTAATAAAAATGTCTCCTTCATACACACTACAAGTTGCTGACCCCAAATCTTAGAGGCTACAGATTTTTAAGTCTTATGCTGGATGAAATTCTTCTGGGGCTCATGGGTTATAGCCCAGGTTTCCAAACGTCTTCATTACACCAGAAAGAAAAAAGTAAAAAGCCAATTAACCCTGGCAGACGGCAGTGCATTAAGTCATCTGGGAGTTTATTAGTCTTATGTGTAGCAGTCCTTAAATAAATATTGCTGGCAGTCACCCAGTTTCACAAAGCAAAAGGCTAGCTCCATAATTTAGGTCTCATGACCAGTGAAATCATGGTGAATGGCAACCGCTCTCTCAGTATGTTATTCTAAGGGGTGACTGAGGTGTTCTGGGATGTCGGCTAGCCATTTTAGGACTTCTGTCCTGGGAAGATTTACCATCCAAAAGAGTATGGTCCAGTCATCATTTCACTAACCACCAAACCTTTAAAGACTCTACAAAGAACATTATTTTTAGCACTATGACATAAATGGGCTAGATTTTCTCTCATAAAACTTCCAACAAGTGGTCTTAACATGTCCCATCGTCTTCTTCTGGGAAGATACCTTAACTCCCATAAAAGAAGAAAGTCCCTTTCCTCTCTTCTCTGCACTTTTGGACAACTCCCTCTGACTTGGATTCCTCGTTGCTAATGTGTCCTCTTCAGTTATTTTATTTTCAAGGGTATATGATGCTAATTAAAGTCAAGTAGCTGTGCTTCCAGCTCCAAATAGTCATTGTGCAGAATAAACTTTCCTTTAATAGATAACTAAAGATCCAGTCTTGAGACCCAAATCAACCCTACTTGCAATTATTTTTGCATTTTTAAAAATCTGATAGAGACCAGGCTACAACATGAAAATGCTGCTTCCTTCATCCATGTTTCTCCCACATTTTATCCATAATGTGTGACACTGCCATAGGTAGCTGCTCAACTAGCCAGATGTCTGCAAGCCAGTTTTTAGACCTTTTATCCACTTCGTCCTGAATTTCATCCTAAGACTGAGGGCCAGTAGAGCACTTTGCAAACTACCTCAATCAGAACCACAAAGAAAAAGACACAACTCACGTTGCCCTCAAATAATACCACCAAACATTTATATAGACCTTTTTAGATAATCAAGCATCTTTCACAAGTTTACCTCATGTATCCTTAAAATAATTTTGCAAATTTTTGACTCTTCACCATCACCAATTAATAGAGGAGAATGCTGAGGCCCAGAGAGTTTAAGAACATTTCCCAAGGCCACACGGGTGGTTGAGAGCTGAACCAGTTCTCTAGTCAATGTCCTCTGCTTCCCCAATTCTTTCCACTGCACCATAGCTGGCCCATCACATATCCCTCTATATTCTCATTTCACTTCTCTAGCAACAATGGAAAGAGCCTGGCTTTCTCTGAAGTCATTGAGTCTTTGAAGAGACACAGCCATGAGTTCAGTTTTCCCACTAATGAAAGCACATAATATATTGGTTACATAAGGAACGTTATGGGGTCATCACAAATGTGGAAAGCTTTTTAAATGAACACACAAATGATGCCTGGAATCCTGAAAAGGCCAAAGAAGACATTACCATCAAATAACCAACCGTGGACCTGGGGGAAATTCCATGAGCATCAGTGTTTTCATTTGAATGGCTTGTTTTTATTTCACGAGGGCTTCTCTTTCATGGAAAACTCGAGGGTTTTTTTAAAGGATTTCAAATTAACATCATGACAAACCTGTAGATGGAGAAGGGAGTCACCGACCGAATGAGGGATGCCAAAGCCCCCACTTTGGCAGCTTCCACGGCGCCCCGGACGCGGTATCGCACTGTACTGGAGTAGTTGGTAAAAGGCTGATTATAAACAACAATCTTCCCTTTTGCTTCTTGGGCCCTTCTCTTCAGCTCATCGAAAGAGGTCACCACCAGAACTTCTGCGATAATGCCTAGAAATAAAAGTCACAGGAGATTAACTTATGGTTTCTGATCAGCCACGTTGAATTGGCACGAAAGGTCACATACGCTCTGTCTGCCACATCTGGAAAACTGGTTTAAGTAGACCAAAGTTTTACAGCCAGTTGCCATGGGAGAAGGATTGTGGGGGTTAGCCAGTTTCCCAAGAGCGAGAAAAGGCATTCAAAATAATGTCACCTACGACTCATAAGGTTTTTCAACTCATTTGACCAGCTGGTATTAAATCACAAATGGCTTGAAAAGATAGGGTGTTTTTTTCCTTCTTTCCCACCCTACGAAGTCAGGAGTTTCACAGAATGACATTAATTATTTATAAAGAAAATGCATTTTAGGAAGCTCCCCTTGGAATTAATGAAACATATTTATCTTTTCATAAAACTATTTTGATATGTTGCTATACAACCTTCATCAACATCATACAAAGGATGGCCATTCATGAAGAATGTTCTTAGAAGCCAATGATCTTCATTAACTTTGAACTAATAGCCAATGTAATCTCTCCCAAAAGTCACAAAAGTCACAAAAGTCAGCTTGTTTTCTTTGCTCCTTTGCACAAAACATTCTTTAAGGATGTGGAAATTTCCCAAGCTTCTCAGTTTACAGCACGTGTACACACCAGCTCCATCACGATTCTTCAGATAAAATTTTCGAAGATGTTGTATAACTGTCCTATGATCCTATGGTCTCACTTATAAGAGGCATGCTATCCTTCCTCATACCACAGGTCCTGCCCTGATTAGGGAACAGGGTTTCACAGGTTCTGAGAAGTCATTCAAAAACTGCCAGACCACTGACGATCCAATTTTATGGAGCAATTAGAGTAACAAAAAACAAAAAAAATATTTAGCAACAAAGGCCAGATGCAGTGGCTAAATATAACCACCTAAAAGAAAGGGGCAGGCGCCTACTGTTTTGTGGCTTCAGACACGCAGTCGTGAAATATGTCAGTAAAACCCAAAGTATCAACATATATTTGGCATCCTTCTTTAGTCTTGCAAACTAGAGAACTGGGTTTTTCTGGAAGCTTAACAGATGTCATTAAAATATTAACTGTTACTTGAAAAATCCTTTTAAAACACACTGCAGTTATAAGAGAATTCCTGCTTTCAATATAGACTCCATCACAACAGACCCTTCAGGCAGGCTCCTCTCCCACTCTATTTCCACCGTACAGACTGAATTTGTACTATTACTTTAAAGTGATTGACTGCAGATCTATAAGCATGTCTCCACCAACATTCAGAACTCAAAATTTAATTTATAATATAAAAAAAAAGCAATGTACAATTATGAAAAGTAAGGAAGCCACTAGCTTTTTCACATGATAAATATGTGCCGAACTACAAATAACGGTTTAGCTAGACAGATTTTGAGAATCATAACTTTCCGAAATCTAGAGTTACCTTGAAACTTGACTGGCATTATTATTGGCATAGTATGAGGATTCTGTTGATGGCTTTCAGCTGTTCCTAATCAAAAACAGATTCAATGGTTTAACTAAGGGATGTCCTAGCAATGGGGTAATTTGGCATCTGGACTGGAGCCACTAGAAATGAAGCCAAATTTCTATAAATTTTTATAGGCCACTGCAAAATTCAAGTCATACAAGGGTGGTACTTCTCTCCGGTCTATGCTTCAAGCTCTTTTAACAAATGAGAGAGTGATGGAGCGCTGAAGAGCCAAAACCTAACCTGGACACCGCGGCTGCCAATGCAAGTCACTGGTAATAGCTAGGAGTCAAAGCCTGTCACCGTGACCTTAGAGGAGGTGTTCAAATTCATCTGTTTTCCTGAACACTAAGCACCATCTCTGATTCTTCTGTCTCCTTCATCCCCCAAGTCTAGTCAATTCTCGAACACTAATAATTTTACCTCTTAAATAATGATTGGACCCAGGTCCCCTCCTCCACCCATCACAGTCGCTCACATCAGGCCCTTATTATTTCTCTTTTGAATTCCTACGAATCTTTCCTCCTGCAGTCACCCAGCGCCACGGCTGCCCGAGCCTCCAGCCCGGGACCCGCAGATTAAACCTCAACAGAGCTGCCAGAGTGAACTGTTCCAACTGCTAAAAAGTCAGAGCGGCCTGTGTCCCCATCTCCCCGCCCCGCTTCATCTACAGACCGGTCAAAGACTGTGTCTCTACGCACACAGGACCCCTGTGCTTTCAGATTCCGCCAACAGTAAACTTGAAAGCTCCCATTCGTCATGCAAGTTCACTTCCATGTCCTCGTCACACTATGGTACAACTTGTCAGGTTGACCCCATTCTCCCAATTTTGTCACGTGACAAACACCTATTTGTTCCTCAGGTTGTCATTGAAAAAAATCACTCCTTCAGGAAGCATTCCCTGGCCTCTGGCCTCTTGTCTCATCCCCGACCCCCGACCCCAGGGGAGGCTGGCCCAAGCGGCACCCTACTCTGGACTTGGAGAGTGCCCTGGGCATACCTGGGCATTGGACAGTGAAGCTCTGCCTGGTTAAGACTCTCTCAGCTACTTAAACTAGGATGTCCTCGGGGTTTGGGGCCATTCTCGCTTTTGTGTGCATCTCCTGGGCCTGACCCAGTGCTTGGCTATGAGCAGCAGTTAGTCAATCAACACCTCCTTGGACGGCACTGCTTTGAATACGGGACCATCGCCTGGGCCTAAAGCATGCCCACAGGAGTGTCATTTTACCTTTCAGGTTTGAGCGCTCTCCCGCGGCTGCTCAGAAGTCCGATTCTCCTGCCACCCAGCGCCCAGCCGCACAGCAGCCAAGCACAGAGGCCTGGGGCGGGCAGAGCAGAAACACGGGCGCCGAGTCTGAAAACTCACCACGCTCTGCCTCTCTGTTAGAGCCTAGTTACCCTCACTTCACGCAAAGTTCTCAGCCTAGTATGTAAGCCTATAAACTATTAGAAACTGCGAATGACAGGGAGAGAGGGGTTTGGGAGAGGATGGCAATAGTACAAGAAAACAGCATGTAAAAGAGCGGGCACTAATAGGATTTTACGCCACGTTGGAAATGCTCGATCGCTGTGATAGCACAGCAGCCGTCAGGCACACATGGCCACTGAAAACTTTAAATGTGACTCATGTGATCAGAAACTGGGTTTTTAATGTCATTTAGTCTAATTAATTTATATTAAAATGTAAATAACCATATGCGTGCAGTGGCTGCTCTGAAGAACTCACAATCACACAGGCTCAGCACCTCTGCCGGCCCTGCGAGCCCGGCTCCACGCAGCTCCATGAAGGCGTGACCCGTGGCCATGGCCTCCCGCGAGGTCACAGACCAGGAGGACCCTATTCACACACTTCATTTGGAAAGGCAGGGTGTGTACAAACACTTAAGGAAGCTTTTTGCTCCAGTTGAATAAAATAAAACCAGGCCATCTGGAAAACATCGCTCTACAATATCAGTGTGTGTTTCGAGACGTCACACAAAGGAGATACCGGTGTGCTCCTACAGATCAGCAGGCTCTGCTTCCCTTCTCCGCTCCCATCTCCCTTCCTCCCCTTATCCCCTTCTAAGAAACAGCACACGAGAGCCTCCAAGAACTCACAGCCAGTGTCCTAGTCGCCGTGAGGCCCGCCCAGGCCTTGTTTATAACCGCAAACCGCTCCCAACCCTTACCCGCCTAATTTTTCAGAGAATTTATCAGCATCCAGCTGCATTCACTACAATAAGGTGCGCTCGTGGCGGGTAGAAATGCTAGTCTGTTTTATTTATTAATGTAACCAAAGCGCCTGAAATGGTGCTCGACACATAATGCATGAAATTCACATAGACTCACAGCACAAATACACACATGCGTATACTGAGTGAATGAAAATAAACCAAAAATATAAAAGTATAACAGCACCCCATCCTTGGTCACCCTCCAAAAATGCATGCTTCCAAGGAAATTGTGTATTTCTGTATATTCTGTCGGAATAGCTGATGATAATAATGAAAATAATAATAGCCATATCTGAGTGTCCATTGTTTACAGTACTGCTCACAGCAACTCTGCAGATGGGTTACTAGGGGGAAACTGAGGAGCTGCGAGGTACTGAAGCCCAGACATGAAGTATTGGTTTTCTGAATCCAGGGCTCATGTTCTAACTGCATTGCTATTTTCAAAAATGTGAAATATATCAAAGAAAATCTGAGGCTTTTTATCCCAAGAGGATTAACAAAGGAGAAATAAAGAGATATATTAAGTCCGCTAAGTCATCAGGTTCTCTTCCTTAGTCCACCCAGGATCCTGCTCACACGTCGGGATGCTGTTATCACCCCAGGTCCCAGTCCATTAATAGGGGCGGGGCGGGGAGGGGAGGGGTGCTTCCCTCCAGGACAGTCAGCAGGCTGGTGGAGGAGTGAAACAGACTGTGGTAGATAATCCTGAAGAAAATGTGGGACTGATGCTAAAAAAAAGTTCTTTTTATAAAGTGACTCTCTTGGCTCCAGCTGATTACGTGCCTAAAACTCCTCAGGCTCCTTTTCATTCCCCGCACCTAATTTTCCAAGTTGATCAATTTATTTTTCGGCGTGATTGCTGCCGCGGCCTCCTTGCCGACAGCAGCTACTGTGGCTCCAGCCGTTTAGCCCACGGAGAACTGCATGAGATTCCAGCTGCAGTCTCCTGACTTGACTCCTCCCAGGAACAGTTAAGAACAGGGAGATGGTGAAGCGAGGACTTTATGTTTTGTGCTATTAAAAGGAAAAGACTACAGACAGAAAAACATGTCTCTGGGGCTCAACTCAGTGGGGTATGTTTTAGGAAACGGAGTCTGATTTCAGAAGACTGAACCCTAAACTGGAAACCCTTCAGGCCCACGCGAAAGGACGCCTAGCTTCTTCCTCTCGTCACATGCGCTTATTGCGAGAGCACCACTAGGTCTGACCGGGCCCAGGTTCACGGCTGGCCGCTCCTGAGCTCAGCCACGGAGAAAGGAGAAGACTTGTTCTTGGAAACAGCGTTTTGGCCTGAAATGGTAAGGAAATTGC